GTGTGTGTGTGTGTGTGTGTGTGTGTGTGTATATGTGTATATATATATAGTGTGTGTGTATTGTCTTTGTGTGTGTATATATATATATATTGTGTATATATATCCAGCTCGGTATATCTTCAGCTGTGTTTATCTACAGCTTCATATATCTACATCTCTTTGTATCTACCTCTGTGCATATCTCCAGGTCTGCATATCTCCATCTTTGAAGAGCTCCAGCTTCATATATCTACCTGTATATATATGTCCAGGTCAGTATATCTTCAGCTCTGTATATATCTAGCTTCATATATCTTCATCTCTATGTATCTACCTCTCTGAATATCTCCAGCTCTGAATATCTCCAGGTGTAAATATTTCCATCTATCAATATTTCCACCTCTGAATATCTCCAGCTATTAATATCTTCACCTCGGAATATCTCCAACTCTGTATAGCTCCAGCTCTGAATAACTGCAGCGCTCAATATCTCCAGCTTTATATGTCTAGCTGTCTATATATTTGCACCTCTGCATGTGTCCACCTTCATAGATCTACATCTCTATATCTGTACCTCGCTGAATATCTCCAGCTTTGAAGAACTGCAGCTTCATATGTCGACATGTCTATATATGTCCAGATCTAGGTATCTCCTGATTCATATGCCTACATCTCTATATATGTCCAGCTCTGAATATCTCCAGCTTCATATATGTACATCTCTAGATTTCTCCAGCTCTACATATCTGCAGATTCATACCTCTACCTATTTATATATCGACCTCTCTGAATATCTCCAGCTCTGCATATCTCAAGGTCTAAATATCTTCAGCTCTGAATATCTCCAGCTCTGAATAGCTCCAGCTTTCTGTATCTACCTGTCTATATATCTCCAGCTCTGCACGTCTCCAGCTTCATAGATCTACATCTCTATATATTTACCTCTCTGAATATCTCCAGCTTCATATAGCCACCTGTATAGATATATCCAGCTCTGTCTATTTTCAGCTCTGCATATGTCCAGCTTGAAATATCGACATCTCTATATATCGACTTCTCTGAATATGTCCAGCTCTGAATATCTCCTGTTCTAAATCCTTCCAGCTATCAATATCTCCAGCTCTCAATATCTTGAGCTCTGCATTTCTCCGGATATGAATATCTCCAGCTTTATGTGTCTACCTGTCTATATATTTCCACCTCTTCATATCTCCAGCTTCATAGATCTACATCTCTATATATTTACCTCTCTGAATATCTCCAGCTTCATATAGCCACCTGTATATATATATCCAGCTCTGTCTATTTTCAGCTCTGCATATGTCCAGCTTGAAATATCGACATCTCTATATATCGACTTCT